CCATCGGGGTTGGGTTTTCGTCGCTTGGCAACGACGTTGTCAAACAAGCCAATTCGCGTCGTGTACTCCGCAACCAGGTTACCGTTCTTTTTTTTTACCTCTGTTTTTTTTTTGGCGGTAACCATAATGGTAGTCGAGTAGGTCATGTTGTGCGGGGTGGAGAACCCTCACTCTGCGCAAGGGGGATGATCGCACCACGTTGTGTTAAAATGGTCAAGCACCCTCGAGGCAGTTACACAGTGCTTACAACTGTCTCTGGAAGTGAAAGCACCAGAAAATAAATTNGTACAAGCAGGAACGTACGTACAGTAGGTACCTCGAGACTAAACTACTGTGTATTGCAACGAAGAAAAGGTGTCCCCCCCCTTTGGTGGGGCAGTTGGCTTGTGACCACGGAAGACGTCCGCGTCAGTTGGAGGAGTACGGACATAAGAAGGTACTGAGCGGAGACCAGAACGGTTTTTATTGTGAAGACAACAACAACAACAACATCTCTCAGCCGATGACCTTCTCTCCCTCTCTCTCGATCTCCCTCGTCTGTAACTTTCACCCCCAAGTTGGCACAATATCTGCCTGAAATGGCGCTTGGACGTTTCGCAACCCCAGGCGCACGCCGGTAGGCTCCCCAGCAAGCACACACGCACGCACACACACGTCCACGGGCACATCTAACAAGAAAATTCACCCCCCCCCGTATTCAACAACAACCGAACCACACCGCCACCTCCACCCGAAAACCACCCACCGGTACACACACACACAAAGATGACGGCGGAGCTGCGGCAGGCGCGACAGGACCTCGAGGGGGCCCTCCGCACCAACACGGAGCTGCAGGAGAGGATCGCCGCCGCCGATGGCCGCCTCGCGGCCGCCTCCTCGAACCTCCGGAGGCTCGAGGCCCGACTGTCGGAGACCTCCGCCGGCGGCGCCGCCCTCCAGAAGTCGCTGCGGCGGGCGGAGGCCGGCCGCGCAGCGGCCGCCGCCGCCGCCGCCAGCTACCGGGACCGGCAAGAAGAGGACGCGGCGGAGGTCGCTCGCCTGACGGAGCGGCTCGCGGCGAGCGATGCGGGGGCGGCGGCGCTTGGGGAGTCGCTGGCGGAGGCGGCGGCGGGGCGCGGGGCGGCGGCCGCGCGGGCCGACCGGCTGCAGGCGGAGGCCGACGGGGTGGCCGAGGAGTGCGCCGCTCTGCGGGAGGAGGGACGGGCTGCCGCGGCGAGGTGTGAAGAGGCGGAGGCGGTGAGGGAGGGGCTGGAGAGAACAGTGGGCGAACTGGGGTCCGAGGTGCGTGTGTGTTCATGTTTGTGTTTGGGTGCTTGACTGCTAGTCGCTTTCGTCACCTCTCCATTTCGGCGTTGTTTGTTTTTCGCAAGAGAGCCCACACCCGCGCGAAGGAAGACAGACACGTGTTCAAAGATGGCACGCGTGCTCTACTGAACGCACTTCCTTCCGTGTCCGGCTACATATAACGGGCGCTATTGATACGACTTCGAGGAACACACGCAAGCACTCAAAGACACACTTAAGAAGCACGTTGTGTTTTGAACCGCACTGAGACTGACGACTTTTTCCATTGGTTACCGTCTCCGCAGGTGGAAGGGCTGCGGGCAGCGGTGGTCGAGAAGGAGGCTTGCCTGGAGAAGGCCTCGGTCGCCGCCGAGGGGCACCGCGCCGAGGCCGCCCGCCGTGAAGCAGAATTCGTCGGGCTGCGCAGGGCGCTGGAGGATGTCGAGGCCGACCACTCCGCCAAGAACGGGGAGGGGTCGAAGCTTGGGCGGGGGTTGGCGGGTGAGGAAAATCTATAGAGCGGTGCTTCGAAGTACACTGGTATTTGAAGTACACCGGTACTTCGAAGTATACCGGTACTTCGAAAGACAAATATTTTGGGTATTGGGTTTTGTTGCATACATGTACGTTGTTCTAAGGTCAGTTCAATATTGGTACTTGCGTTGTTATGTGTGTAGGTTGGACGAATGAAAGATCGCACGCACGCTCGCAAAGGGTGGAGTGTTTCGTTCTTTTCTATCCTTCGGGCCCAACTGCAAGAGGGGCCAATGCATCGGTATTTCGATGCATTGCTTGTACTCGTGAAATTTCGGAACAGTGTAGCGGGGTTGAGACGCAGGGAGGATACGCAGAGAAGCGTAGCATGACGACAATTCAAGCATGACGAACGGAGGGTTTCGTCTGATCTCACGTGTTTTTCTGACTTTCAGGTGGGTATCCTGAGGCGGGGGGGCGAAACAAAGTTGTTTTCCCGATAGCACAGGGGAGACCATGTGTGCTGTGAACATTTTGTTTCGCTGATGTGTGTGTGTTGTGCACTGCTCTTCTCTAAGAAGAGCTCAACGTGTAAGTATTCTTAACGAAAACTAGAAAAGGAGCAACACACCGCTGCTGCAGTTAAAATCACAACCAATGCTTGCTAACACGAACACAGACACCTACGGTATCGGGGCGGCGCTGGGAGAGAAGCTGATCTCGTTGGTCGAGGAGAAGAAAGACGTCCAGGGGAAGCTGGAAGCGGCGGAGGGGGCGCTTTCGTCGTCGGAGGCAGACAGGGAGCGGCTCAAGTTAGAGGTGGAAGCTAACGAGTCGGCGGTCGAGGGGCTGAGGGGCGAGATCGACGAGACCCGCCTGGAGTGCGAGGCTCTGCAGAAGGTGCGCGTGTGCTATTATTATAGCTACGTTTTTTTTCTTGCATAAATGGTTTTTTTTTCCTTGCTTCAAGGAAGTGAAAGGTGCGCGAGTGTTATCATTGACACGTGTTTTTTTTGCATTACAATGTATTTATCTTGCTTTCAAGCGAGTGTCGATGCATCTGAAGATTCTAACCATTGCGACAAGAATGCCCGCACACGTAGCAGCAAATGCGTGCAGCCATCGTGGGAAGGAAGCCAAGCTAAGCCTCACGCACCCCCCTCCTGCGCTGCCGCGATCGTCCACTTCTCTGTTGTTTCCCAGGAGGTGGAGCGGCTGAAGGAAGGCGGCGAGGCTCAGGCGGCCGGCGCGAAGGCCATGCTGAAGGAGAGCCACGCCAGAGAGGAGGAGGCGGTAGCTCGCTTGCAGCTGCTCGAAACCTCGTCCGCGCGCGATGTTGCTCTCGCCAAGTATGAGGTAATTTACGTCTGGTGGGGAGGTTGGTCTCGCCAAGTATGAGGTAGTTAACGTCAAATGGGGATATTGCTGTCGCCAAGTATGGGGTGCCAAGCTCGCCCGTTGGGACTAGGAGTGCAACCCATGTTTATTTGTGGGGAACGAGGGGGGGGGGGGGGGGGGGGGGGGGGGGGGGGGGGGG